TACAGGGAGAGATGTCATTCTTGAAAGCACCCAGCAGTTCCTCGTTGATCGTCAGTCAGTCTTTGGAAACGACCTCATCAACTTGCCTGAGAGTTCATCGCTATATGTTCCATCTGACAGTATGGCTTCCTACCTGTCCTCTGTGGGTGTCCAAGGGGAGATCCCATTAAACCTGAGCTCCTCAACTGACAACAATCAGTGATTTAGATTCCAAGAAATGATGTCTCCCTCCCACCCATCCAAGCATCCACAGGTTTGAATGTAAAGAAACAAAAGTGACTCAGAAACCCACAAGAGAGTTTCTTTTTGTCCCCTTTCTTTTTCAGTAGATGGAAATGTTCAGTAGTTGTTGCATTACCCTCCCTGCACCTGAATTTCAGTGTTTGCCCAGGACAGCAATTTTAAATGAAATACTGCTTCTGGTGCTTGCTCCTGTGGGGAGTGAGAACTTGGCAGGTTTGGGGATTTTTGCCTTTTAAGTGCTTTTAGAAGTTTCAAATTTAATAAAATTTAAGTGAAGAGTAGCTTGAAAGTACATCAGGGACTTCATAAAATATAATGATCCCAACTAGTGTCTGCAACAGCAAAATACTGGATTTTATTGGGGCAGCACAGATTAGCTAAGATGCCTGACCCTTCTGGATGCTGGTTGTTTTTTTTTAATAGGAAAATAGTTCTATATGCCAGTCCAATGCTCTAAAAATATTCCTTTATTGATTTTCTGTTTTTTATGGGATGTACTTATGCCACTTCTTTATCGTCCTAGGGTGAGTAGGAAAATGAAGATCTCTTCTGGTGTGCAGAAGGTAATTATCTGAGTGACCACTCAGAATGTGTCTCTGGCTCCCAATGGAGCTACAGACCACTACAGAACCCGAAACATCCTGTGCTGAGTTGAAGGGGTTTGTTGTTTGGGATGTTTTTCCCCTAAATTTATTTCTTCTAACATACAAACAAAAGGGATAGATTCTTGTGCATGCACAATTTTCCACTTTGCAAAGAGGACAGCGGAGGTGGACTCTGGGTTTTGGTGCTGGCTAAGTGTTTTATGTCCAGTCCAATGTTTTTTTCCCTTGGCCTTGACCTGTTCTAGTTCCCCTGAAGATGTGCCTGTTGATTTATTGATGTATAAAATCTGATGAACCAATTTAATAGATTGGATCCCCTTTTTAGGAGGGCTCTCAGCTGCTCTATGTAGGAGAGAGGCAGAAGGGTTAGTCCACCATGTCCACTAACTTTCTTCCTGTCCTTTGTGCACCTGAGACCAGCCTCCAAAGGTTGAATTAATCTTCCTCTACCATATGGTTTCTGACAACTGATTTTCTCAACAAAGCAGAGCTTTGTTTTTTATTCTAGTAGTTCTAATGAGAACGTATTATTTATCTCAGTAGCTTCTGAGTTGCTTTTCCTTAGGAAAGCTACCCTAATGCAGTAAGAAACATCCAGGAAATTCAGCTAACTCAGGCCTCCTAAGGGCTTAGACAGGGAGGTGTGAGCCGTGCCAGTATCATTTGAAGAAATACTCTGCTTGCTTCCACTGCCATGATGACTCTTGGTTCTAAACTGTATTTCTGAGCATCCAACCCAAAATATAATCAGGTGAATGCAGGCTCACATTCTCCTTAGTAAGATGAGCATGTTTTCAGTGGACCTTCCTGTCAGAGCCCTTCCCTCCATCCATTTATCAGTATGTGAAAGATGTGTTAGCTCAGAAACATTAATTTTTGAGCATGTTTTTCCCCAGGTAATTACTGTGTGCTGGGAACTCTGCCACCACTGTGGTGGGGCAGACTTTGCAGGAGTGAGGTTGTGAGAGCTTCTGAATGAATTCCAGACACTGGTTATTTTTGTTCAGGACTGAGGGAGAATGCTGGCAGCCCCATTGGCCAGGTATTTAGATGATGTGCTTGAGTGTAGGTTTCCCTTTCTGACAGATTTGTGCTTTGACAGTTCACCTAGATCAATCCATTTGCCACTGTATTTTGTCATTTCCAGAGATGGAAAGTGGTTGAGCTGCACTCTGTTTCTTTCTTTTCTCATGATTGAAAATTGTCTGGTGTCTCCTATTAACTGCATGTTGTCCCCATTCAGGATTTACATCCTTCTCTGAACCTTCACATGCTAGATTGCCTTAAAGTTAACACTGAATGTATTGATCTGGTAAGGTTTAAGCATGTGCTTAACTTCAAGCTCCTAGTAGTTTTCCCATATTTTTATGAAGCCTATTGCATGCTTGAGGTTAGACATGTGCTTCCAAGTCTTACTGGGTTGTCTAGTTAGGGTTGAGAATGAACCCTAAGTAGCTTAGGAGAGCTACTTATGGGTAGGCAGAGGTGCAGCTCAGGCAGCATGGGGCTGCAGTATTTTAACAGTGCCAAGCAGACTGCACCCTCTTTGAGCAGCCCCTCAGGGTGGCTCTTGGGTTGTTCTTTAGGCTTTGTGCTCTACTATAAACAAAAGACTGGAGCACAATGGTGAGAGAGGAATCTTCAGGAACAGTATTCAAGAGCCAGACCTGTGAAGAAGCAAGCTTGTGTTCCTTGGCTTTTTACATTGTTAATTTGACTTGAAGGTGACATGCTGAGACTGCGTTTTTGCACTATGCTGTATATTTGTAAAGTTTTACAGAAAACACTAATTAAACGTGTTTCCTTTTTCTCATTTAGTCCTGCTCTGGCATTTCTCTCACTACTTCCCCTTACTCCTTTCCTTCTTCCCAAGGAGAATAAAAATCCCTCCAGGAGTTAAGGACGGTCACCTGTGAGATGATGTAGGGCTCACTGATGAGATCTGGTGGGTAAAACGTGGCACAGTAAACACAGCTCAGAGAGCAGCTGAATTCTAGCAATTAAAATGCCTGTTAGGGTGGGTGTATCTGGTAAAATCAAGATAAAAGAATCAATAGTTGCAACTCTTATCTTTATTTTCTTGCTTTCAGTGGTAACAGAGTTCAAATTTTACTCTTGCAATTACCTTTTATATAAACACTTTCCTTTTGTAACTGGGACATGATCAGATGGTCCTTCCTGCTTGTTTTCCCTTAAGGCATGATTTGGAGAAATCTCCAGGAACTCACCAACAGAGTTTAAGTTGACAAGCAGGTATTTATTGCGGCGCCGGGGCACACGGGGGATAGCCCCTCCTAACGTGTCTCTCCGAATTGCTAAACTAAGCCGTTCTTATATAGTCGCTAAACATACATATTCATTACGTATATGTTTGCATATTCATGAGGCTACTTATGTATTACATCATTCTTCTAGAAAGTTTCCCCGCGTGCGTACAAAAATGTGGTGGTGGTCTTTGGGAGTCGTTTACTTCTTCCAGCAAGCTTCATCACTTCCCGCAGCCTCTGAAGCATGTGCAGTAGATAATGCTTACAGCAGCTTAATCGGTTCGGTAACACTGCAGACATAATCATCCTGGCCTTCTACTTACAGTTAGCTTAGCTGCAGCCCATCCTGGACACCTGCTACTTTCAGATACTCTTTATCTACATGTCCTGTTTTTCTATCCTGTTTTTCTTACACTTATTTTTGTACTAAGGTCATAAGGACCTAAAACTACACCAACTACAATGATTTATCTTATACAAGGGTTCTCATTATGTTCTCTATCTGCACTCTATTTTTTTTTTTAGTTCTGTGAAACGTGTACCTCAGTTATTTTCCATTCCTGCTGTTACAAAGCCATCAAACTTGACCTTACTTAGAACTGATTCTACTTACTTACAAAGGTTTGTATTTCATTTTGTGCCTTCTTGTCTCAGGCAGCAAAGGGGTAACAGGACAGGTGTTAATATGCAGCACAAAAACACACAACCCCAGGCTATAAGTTTTTTCTGAGAAAAGGGGAGATGATTGTTAAATGAAGCTCACAGATGTTGTTGGCAGCATTTGCAGCTTTCCAAGAAGGTTCTTGGGGATGCTTCCAGATAAGCTTGTCCTCCAAGGCCCTTGCTCATCCTCCTGCCCTGTCCTGGAGGCCATGGATTTTATCAGCATGTTTGTACTCACAGAAGGTGGAAAATAGCTGAAATTTAAAGCAATTTTGTTGTCTTCCCTGAGGGCTTTTTACGATTGTGTTACTTAGGACCAGTTCTCTTGCCACCAGATGGCACCTAACCCCAGCTACTTGAAAATCTATCTTTTCAACAAGCCCATAGTAGTTATTTCTTTTCTATAAATGTGCACATCTACAAGACCTGTTCAATTCCGTTTATTAAACACTATTAGACATTTTTAGAAATATGAAAAAAGACATCCATCTAAACTTGGGTGTGGCTTAATGATGTGAGGTCACTTAATGCCTAACCTATTCTTCATGTTGCTGTTAAATCACGAAAACATCAGCACTTGAAGATGAGGCCAACTCATTATGTTGTGCTTAAACAGTGTGCAATTAACTTTTTTAACCTGCTGTGTGAGGAAAAGGAGCCATGAATGGTCCAGCAGAATTGGCCAAGGGTTGTCCAAGTGGTGTTGGACAGGAATCTTTTGTGGAGTTGCAGAGGAAGCACTCAAGCAGTATCTGCTTCCTCAAATTTTATTCTCCAGCTCAGAAGAGGGGGAGTAAGATAGAACCTGGCTGAGGCACCACTGCTATTATCTTACATTTCACTTTGGCACAAGACTGTGCCTGTGGTATATGAGAGAAGCAAACGGAAGAAGAATTCCTTCGATCAGCTTTTTGCACCAAAGCTGCCTTTCTGCCATGACTACCAAGCTGGTTATTTTTCTGTTGTATTTGAAATTCAGATCCTGACACACATCACACAATGAAAAATGATGAAAATGGCAGATACAAGCATATGATCCATCACGGATCGCCCTAACAGGTAAAACCAGATGTTCATGCACGGACACTAGTTCTGCATCTCATTTTGCATAAACAATGATGTCTATGAATGTTAGATCCATAAAAGACCATGTTGAGAAGCAATCTCCATTTGTCATTAAGGTTCATCTGGTATGAAATATGAGATTATACAAGTTAAAATATATGTGGTTACAAGTAAAATCTTTATTTAGCTCAAGTGAGAGAGACATGTTACAGTATGCACTGGAAGTACGTATGTAATGAAACCTTAAGACATAAACATTCAACCAAGTAATTCCTAGGATGCAAGGGAAAAAATGACATCACAGAAATTAATTTAACTGTAACACAATAGTGCACTCACAAAGGACTGAATGCTGCCAGCTGCCCTGAATACTTGGAGCTTTTTGCAAAGCGATTAATCTAAACCACTCTCACTGTCCTTGTCATCCCATGCCTCGTGAGAACATCCTTCACTCTCAGCTGGGTACTGTGCTTCTCCATTGCTGCCACTACCTGTTGAAAGCATGAAGGCAAAAGGCAAATTAAAACTCACCAGTGGTCTGTAATACTGGAAAAAGAAATGTAGGGCCCAAGTTTTAAAAAAATATTTAAATAAAACTCTGCAAGAAATCCTGTGTAGAAAAAGAAAAAAATAACATTTTAGTTCCTAATTTATTGGGATTCCCACACAAATAAAAGGAAGAGGTGACTGTTAACTAACCATGGATTGAAAATTTTCTCAACAACAGAGCTGAACAAATGTTTAATATGTATGTGCCAGCCACTGTTTTCCCTGTTATAAATTAGTCCCTGTAAACTTACCATCCTCTTCTGTTGGGCTTGGGTCACCTGGTTGCTTGTAGACTGGTGACAAGAGTAGATTATCCTTGGGCTCAGAGTTAATCTCTTGTATCAAGGGTCTTGAGGGGGTTGTTTGTTGATCTTTGATCTCCTGATATCTTTTGGAATTATCAGGCTGTGTAAAGAAGCTTTCAACAAGGGGTCTTAAGTGCTCCTTTCCATGCTCTTTATGTATCTTACATGCATTTGAAAAGATTGCTGTTGGGACTTCTCCTTCTGAATTCTCAAACATGCTTTTATTGTCTTCCTCTAATGCTGAATCGCTGTCATTTGTCATTTCAGAAATTATTTCAATCTTTGGGTGATATTCCTGCTGTAAAGGTGGAAAATCTAATTAAAAATATATTATTCTAGATGTAAAAGGTGGGTAAATATCTCTTGGACCCACATAACAGCTGTCAGCTTTGACGTGCCATTCTCCCAGAATGCATGGAAAATGTGCTTCAGCCATAGCTCTGCTCTCTGTGGATGAATCTTGGGTTAACTATTCCTCAGGCATTAGTGATGAACTACTAACCATTTGCAAAATGAAGACCTATTTCAGCAATTCAGAAATGTGGGGGCTCAGTTCTGTTACTTTACCTCCAAACAGAGGGACCTGACTAGTATATTCATCTGACATCACTTAAGAACCAAACACCACTCAGAGTGTGACCGTGCTAGCATATCCTCTGTTCCTATTTTCTTTTAATTGGAGGCTTTGTTGCAAAGATATTTTTCAATGCTGTTATTAGTCTGTGACCAAAAGAGTAAATAAATTCCATGCCTTATGGAATGGTTTGGGATGGAGGGGACCTTAAAGCTCATATAGTTCCAACCTCTTGCCATGGGACACTTTCCACTAGACCAGGTTGCTCCAAGCCCTGTCCAACCTGGCCTTGAAACACTGCCAGGGATGGGGCAGCCACAGCTTCTCTGGGCAATCTGTGCCAGCGTTTTACCACAGTGAAGAACTTCTTCCTAATGTCTAATCTAAATCTATCCTCTTTCAGTTCAAAACCCTTTCCCCTTGTCCTACCACTACATGCCCTTATCAAAAGCCTCTCTTCAGGTTTCTTGTAGCCCCTTTAGGCACTGGAAGCTGCTCGAGGGTCTCCCCAGAGCCTTCTCTTCTCCAGGCTGAACAAGCCCAGCTCTCTCAGCCTGTCTCCAGAGCAGAGGTGCTCCAGCCCTCTGAACATGTTTGTGGCCTCCTCTGCATTTGCTGAAGCAGGTTAATGTCCCTCCCCACCTCCCACATCGTGGATTGTACTTATCAAGAGCTGCTGCTTCCTCTGTGCATAAATTTGAACTCCCACCAAGTGCAGTGCTCTGGTTCTGAGGCTCTCCTGCATTTCCATCCTTGTCACATTTGTTTAATCAACTTAAGCAGCCTGTGAGACCATGCAATGTTTTCAGCCATTGCCTCCCTCAAGGACTGAGCAAAGTGCTCTTGGCAATATGGGATTCTCATCTTGCTGACAGCTATCATGAGCTGCAGCAACATTTTAGACTACAGTCTAAACTCAGTTTTAGCACAGTATGGCCCCAGGACAAACACATCAGGTTAAATCCACTTTATATAAAAATTATTGATTTGCCTTACGCTGACTGAAGGAAAAGTTCTCATTAGCTTGGAGGGACATGTAAGAACATGCACTCTGTATTGGCCTCTGTCTCCAACAAGGCAAGTATGAGTTAACATCAGCACAAGAATCAATACTGTGCAGTTCATTTTTGTTGCTCTATTTTTCTTTTTTCTCTTCTGTTTCTGTTTATAGGCTTTTGCCTAGAAGATTATTTTGAGCCCAGCATACTGCTAATGTGGGCATGAACTGCCTCGTATCTGGCTAGCATGCAGTGGAGCCAAAAAGTTTCAATTTCTCTGTGTTTTCAGTTGAAAAGACTGATTTTATTCAGTTGTAGGCATTTTGTTCTAGCCGTTCAGTACTTTGCAGCGTATTAGTATTGTAAAGTATATTTTAAGAGTCATTTTCGTAAAACCACTACATACTGCTAAGAAATTAATCTTAGAATTAAGCTAAGAAATTAAACAACTGCATTACTTGATCTTAGGTGTTCATTCTTCTATTTTTGTAATACAATAATATAAAACCTTAAATTAAGAAACTATTTATAAGTGGATAGAGAAGATCTTCTGAAACATCCCTTTTAGTTTATAAATGCATGACTGATTGCATCTCCCAGAGCCATTTCACAACTGAGATTGTCCTCATTTTGCAAGACAATTTGTAAATGTGTTTAGGGAAGCTCCATCACTGGAATGAATAAAAATCTTACCTTTTGAACAAAGCTTTCCTCTTCTGGGGGAAATTCATTTACATCAGTGTCTTCTAAATCAGGCAATTCCTGAAAACAATCATGAGATTATTGGTCAGTGGGAAAAGCTACTGTAACCAATAAAACCTCTCTCTCATGAGGAATGTTCTTCAAAGCCATGCTTTTCTGGGTAAGAATTCAGCCAGCAATACCACACTGTCATTTTCTCCAATGTGACGGTTTCCTCTGTTAAACACTTGTGGGAAAAGGAAAATTCATGTCTCCAGAAATAGCAGATGGGAAGGAAATAACTTTAATGTCAGCCTGAGTGCTGTTTTCTACTGTGCTGTGTGATCATGAAGGAGAAAAGGATAAACAGCAAAGCATTAAAAGGATTTTAAAAGCAAGCATGGTTTACATTTATTAGCTGTTTCATAGCTATTCAACAGACTTCACCTCAGCTGCAACTCACGTTTATGGACAACGATCTGCAGTCTTAACTCTTGTTAACCTAAATACATCCAATAACACGATATTTTACTGTGAATGCTTCATAATTAGGGATACAGAACTGCAAGCTTCCCGAGAACTGAGATGCGCAGCAACAGGAGCTTGCTTCTGCTTGACAGAGGGATGTCGCAGAAGCATAGAATAGTTAGGGTTGGAAAAGACCTTAAGATCACCTAGTTCCAACCCCCTCTGCCATGGGCAGGGACACCTCCCACTAAAACATGTCACCCAAGGCTCTGTCCAACCTGGCCTTGAACACTGCCGGGGATGGAGCACTCACAACTTCCCTGGGCAACCCATTCCAGTGCCTCACCACCCTAACAGTAAAGAATTTCTTCCTTATTTCCAATCTAATAACCACCACATTACAAATCCTCCTCCACTCTTCTCCCTTATATTACTATTGAGACCATCTACTGACTCCAGGAGATCAGTAAAGACAATGGAGGTACACCAGAGCTTCTCACGAGTATCATCTTCACAGCCATTCCCTGCCATGTCAGCGCTAAGTCTCTGGAAAATCTGCATAGCGTAAGTATTGGAGGTTGTTGCAAGAAGCTCTTTCCATTACTAAACATCAGTTGAAGAACAAAGTAGCACAGAACATGAAATGTGTATTTGTGTGTGATTTTACTTTCTTTTTGTGTAAAATCACAATAGTCGTACTTTTTATGTGTCAGAAGAAACCCCATGCATGTTTGTTGAAGTGTTCCTTTTACACCATGTTAAAGTTTGTGCAAAGGAGCTTGCTATGGTGCCATATAGCACCAAGAAAAAAAACAAACAATGAATCTATGAAATCTTTACATTTTGGGTACCTACAGTACTGTTATTTCTTTAAAGCTTTTATGTCAGCCCCTGCAAGATCTGCTTACAAAAATAATATTGTATATACTTCAAATTGCTGCCAATTCTCTCCACTGTCCTTGTTAAACCTGTTATTAAAACCAGTCAAATGGAAGGATACAGCAGTAAGCCCTCTACTGGAGCAGTGGGTAGAGCCCTTTGATAACAGGATGGCTTTTTTTTTTTTTTTCCTGGGGAAGATACAAGAGGCTTTTCTAAAACATTCCATCAAGAATTTAGTTAAGGGTGGCAGTATAAAGGATCAAAGAGCATATTAAGTGGTCTGGGAAATCCTAAACTCAGAGGTTTGTTATTGCTAGTAATGTCATAATCTGACATGGTCAGTTTAGCAGCAGTGTTATAATTACGACATATTGAATAATTCTTCTTTGAAGTGAGATTGTATTTTTCAGTGGCATCCATGTCCTCTCATGGTTAAATGTGGTTGAACATGTTTAAATGTTTGCATCATCAGATAGACATCTTAGATAATAAAAGATCATATTATAAATGTCAGTTGCTTATTATATACCTAATACACATTCTGCTTTTCTTAGAAACATACTTAAAAGTTATATTTTAAGAAGTAATTTATAATATCTAATACTGCTAGCTAACATTGACAGTGTGGCTATTTCTTCATTATGCTTTTTCTGCGACAGTTCACATTTTCAACCTTATGTTTCATTTGAGTTTTGCCTAAGAGGAGGCATGTATCTACTAGATTCCTTTTGTTGTGAGTTCTATTTTTTAAATGAGAACCTTCATGAACTTCTCCAGAAAAATCAGAGATAGAAGGTCAGCTGCAGGTGATTTATAGCCAAAGGACAAAATAAACTTTGGAAGTGGTGGTAATGTTTTTACACATGCTATGCTGGAGAGGGTGAGTAGGGATACTACAACTTTCATTTGTTGTTTTGTTTTGTTTTGTTTTGTTTTTTTAATTTTCCTTCTACTTTTCTTACCAGTGGACCTTTCTTAGAAACCTGGCCATACAGTTTTATTAGCCAGGATGTTACAAGAATTAATTTGGGAGCAGGCAATAATGAAATATGAACTTCTCAAAATCTGAATCTAATACATACATCAAGACAAAGTTTCTCCAGTGTATCCAGTTTGGTTTGTTCAGTTTCAGCATATTGATCCCGTTCAGGAAGTATGGCCTTTCCAGTAGCTGCCTTCTCTCTTGGTAGATCTAAAGAATAAACAATACTCAGTTGCAGAGAACTGACTGAATAAAAGACTGTCTGTATTGCAACAGCAAGCACTGAAAAATCAGATCGCTGGGGACCTGACTACCACTGCAGAATTCACAGCTGTCTTACATCATACATGCACTGTCTTACATCATACACCTGGTCTCCCTTCTTATATTGTATAAATTAATGTTAGCATTTTGCAATAATGTATTCCACATGTCTGAAAAAGGGTGCTTCCATGTGTGAAGGAACAAAACCACCTCTAGAGTGATGTCCAGCTTCTGTGGCATATTTATTCCTGCTTTATATAGCAGAAATTCCACATGTCTGAAAAAGGGTGCTTCCATGTGTGAAGGAACAAAACCACCTCTAGAGTGATGTCCAGCTTCTGTGGCATATTTATTCCTGCTTTATATAGCAGAAATTGCAGGCTGAGCCCTGGGAAATTTCTGTTGTTGCAAAGGGTATTTTATCCAGTATTACTTAATTGTCACCTAATTACTGTGGAAATCTAGTGGGATGTTCCTATCTATAAGTCAGCTGGATTGAATCACAGCAGAGGCAGTGTTAAGAGTTTGGCTCATCATCTCTGCATCCTCAGTTTTGTTTGATTCTTCACCATGTACATTACCACCTGTCTCCTTGTTGAAGTTTGGGCATTTGTTACAGTTTGATTCCTGTGCATCCTCTTGAATTCTAGCAGATGTGAAACCTGTGTTATCTCTTCCATTTTGTAAAAGTGTTATCACTTCCTCATGACCATCAAAACTTTCATTTCTAAATTTGTCAGTCTTCTCTTGAGTTTCTTCCTTTTCTGATATATTTGAAGTCTCCAGTGTATTAGAATTGCCATCTTTGTTATCTGAATTTTCAGGTGCCCCTAAAAAAGAAACAAGTTCATTAAAACTGCCGAGTTAATCTACCATTACTCATTCTAAATATCCAGACTTTACTAGATAGTCTCAATGGTCTGGCCTAAAATATGCATCAAAAGCTCCTACTTGGTTTGAGCAGTTATTCATGGATCAGCAATCTTCATAGAGAAAACACTACAGTAAAGAATTGCCTTGTATCTGTAGTTGACTTTGAAAAGGCTCACAAGTGACTATGTACTTAAATATATGCTTGAGCAATAAGATGGATTGATCAGTGACAGATGTTGAAGTTATCCTCCCCTTTACGCAACCTGCCTGCTTGCAGAAAAAGTTTCACTTGTTGGTCAACTATGTTTGACTTCAGAGCCTGTGAAACGCAAAAAAACGTATCAGATGATAGATAAACACTTCTCTATGCTGCAGTACTGTCTTCTTGTTTGGCTTCAGTCCTCTTTATTCTGAAACGTGTACTTCTCTATAAAGGTTAGGTTGGAACCTGACCTATTATGGGTTGTAAAATGTTTTCCTCCTTGAGTAATGTGACAGGAGAATTCGTGGCATAAAAAATGACACTAAGTAAGTGAAGCAAATTATTAATAACCTTCCTCTTCCTATGCTTTTATTAGCACTGCTGTAGGCTCTAGGCTGAAGCTCTCACTGCTTGCAAAGGCAGGACTGGAGAGCTGTCTGGATGGGGACTGATGAGGCAGTTGTCACCAGGTATTACTGGAGCCCACAGGCCTGTTGAAGACAGCACTGTTCTGCATCTTGGGGAAAGATTGCTCTTGGTGTGTAACTGCCCATGAATGCCTGCTGGAACCATTAGGGCACTTACTAGCACATGGTTGCTTCAGTGAAGAGCACAAGAGCTTGAAACACTGGGACATGAAGTGATTTGTTGATTTTCTGTTTCATCAGCAGTGAAAAAGGTGATGATTGCTTAATGATGGTTGTAGTTAATCTAAGATGCACCAAGATAAAGTACTTCATATTGGAAAAGAAGATTCATAAATATATTCAAAACATTGCATCAGCCTGCTTCTGAACTTTTAGGAACTGTTCCGTTCCTATATTTGAATTATTTGAAACATTCAAATTGAAGCAGACACAAACATGTTCCAAAATAGTAATCACAAACCTTCTAGGATGTCTGTTATGTCTCCATTTCCAGATTTAGCACTTGCCTCTTTTTCTTCCATATACTTTCTTCTTTTCTTTTTGTCTGCTTTCCACCTGATTGCTGCTAAAGCATCAATGCTATCTTGGATTTTTTTTCTCTCTCTGGTTTCCCATTTTTCCCTTTCTGCTTTCTCAGCTTCCAGACCTCCAACAGCCCAGGCTTCTGCACAGGCTCTAATGAAAACACAAAAGCCTAACTATAATATAGCTATAAAAGCCCATCTTTATAAATGAGACATATCTCTTATCTTGTATGTGGAACTGCAACAAAAGAACCAAAGATATCCAAATGCTGGTGACTGCACAACCAGAGATCTGCCAGGAGTGCTGAACTCTGCTTTTCCAAATACCTGTTCCATTTCTGCAGAAATGAGGATTTGCCTTTGATCTACAGACGTGGTGTAAAACAATTCTGTTCAAAAATTAATTATCTTGTGAAAAAATTTTTGTTTGCTTGTTTGTTTGTTTTCTAGGTATGTTAGACTTAGAACTCTGTAATACAACACCCTTCCACCCTTCATAGATTATATTGGTCAGACTTCCTTTACTTCCCTGACAATACTGGCAAAAACTGGAGAAGTGATCATCAGCATTTGAACTTTATTGCTGTGTAAAGAAGATGGCTCTGTTTCTTACCTATCTTTTGGGAAAACTGGTCTGTCATCCAGATACGTTAGTTGTTTTAGTCTAACAGTAAGTGTTTTTCTATAATTAGCAATGTTCTTTATCACTTGGTTTCCCATCAAATTCAGCACATGCTGGAGAAACAAGGGAAACTATTTTTAAAGTCAAGTTGCAAAAAAACTCACTCTAGATACGCACTTCCCCTATCATTTTAAAAATAAGAGGTGAATAAAACATCTTGGGTGTTACAGGTAACCTACAAAACCCCAAGTAATATTTAATAACATTTCTTTTAGACCAGTACCTATTGTGAACTGGCCTACCCAATGAAACCTTTTAATGGCATTCAGCTATATACACGATACAAACTTTCAGCTAGATTTGGCTTACCAAATTAGGCACAGTCTCCAGAACAGTTATAATAGCTGGATCACTTAGATTGTTGTGGGAAAGATCAAGAACAGAAATACTTGGGCATTCTTGCAAGTGCTGTATGTCTTCCACTGTTTCTAATTTGTTGTGAGCAATCTGCAGAGTCTGCAGGACCTTCAGACAAGCTGTCAGAGAAAAACAGAACAGTGAAAAGAAAGGTGAGAGCCATTACTTCAAGGAAGGTTTTCTGGAGCAAGTAGAAAACTGCATTGTCAAAATCATAGAATCACAGAATGGTTTGGGTTGAAAAGGACCTTAAAGCTCATCCAGTTTCAACTGCCTGCCACAGGCAGGGACATCTTTCACTAGGCCAGGTTTGCTCAAAGACACATCAAAATAATTGTTTATATTGAATTGGGAGGTTTCTTTTCTAAATTCGTTATTCTGCTATATGCACTTTCTGGCTATGCCTTCAAAGCTGCTTTCTTCACCCCCAAAAAACCAGTTATTTGGTTTTAGGGGAGTGGTTGTTTTTAATTTGCATTTCAAAATAGTCAGTTACACAACAGCAACAGCTTCTGTTTCAAATCACTCCCAATGTACACAAATGATAATGTAGAGGAATTATTATTTATTTTCTATTGAAGATGGAATACATCCTTTAACAGGATAAAAGATGTAAAATATTTGGTAATGATGTCTGCAGCTGTCAAAGCACACCTTAACCATAAAGTAAGTAATGAAAACTGGATTGCCAGCCTGTCTGCAAAACCTAAGTACTGAGATAGTATTAAGAAGTGAGAAAAAAACTACTCAATTATCCTAAGTATCCATGTGTAAGTAACTATTACATCGTTTTTGTTTTGTCATCTATTAAAATTGCAACATACATAGATTTGACTCTCCAATAGAAGCCTTGTGGACTTTGGTATTGCTCAAAATTTTAACAGAAATAAAAAAAACCTTGAAACTAGTGCCACTAATAATAGCTTAGCTTAGTCAAAGCTTAGAAATATGGGCTCATTATAGGTTAAAACATGTTGTTCCAACGGTTCTTACAGAGATTCTCAATGGTCTTGATGTAGTTGTTACTGACATTGAGGGAATCCAACTTTTGTAAGGGTTCAAGGTTTTCAATTTTCTTAATTAGATTGAGTTGTAGGTAGAGGCAACGCAACTCTGTCTGAGCCTCCAAGTTCTCAATTTTTGTTATGCCATTGCATTCCAGCCATAAACACTTCAACCCAGTATACTCCTCAAGATTCTCCAGGCGGTCAAATCCTGCAGGAAAAGATGTTTCAAAATTAAATGGCACTGACCAAAACCAAGTCTTTGGAAGAGTAAATTTCATTAAACGAATGCTGCTGAAACAGTCTGCAAGAACACTTGTACTCAAGCTGCTGCCAGTATTTCCACTGAATTAATTGGTACAGTACATGGCCCATAAAAGGCAAAAACATATATGTATGTATTGTTGTCTGTATCTCATGCAGTCCTTTAGGTGCTCAAATAATCCTGAGAAAATAGCAAAACCAGGGCCAAATGTAGAAGGTAGATTTATTATGTCCTATTTATTTAAAACAATTATGCTAAGCTGAACCAGCTAACCCATCATGCAAAAACCTACTGCAAAATGACAAGAAGATGGTCCATGTTCATCCTAGCAACTTCTTCTTTCAGTTGCATCTAAGAACGTGTAGCAAGTTTTTACTGTAACTTTGTTCCACACCTTTTTTATTTGGTAGTAATAAGGTTCCCAAAGCTGGAAAACAGTTTCTTTGTACTAACACATTTAAGAAGAAATATATGTCTTTTCCTCTAAATGCAATCCAGACCAGTATTTTAAGATATTTCTCAGAGGCTACTGGGTTTTCTGGGAAAAAAAAGAGTGCTCCTTGACTCCTACTGATCCTTTGATGACTCTACAAAGTGAACTAGGACAATTAGATCTATAATGAGTTCACTTTTCTACCTTCATCCTGACTGACTTTGTTTCACAATTTCATTATTACATAAAATTAAAATATGTTTCTAATTTAAAAGAACTATTAGATACCTTACTTGAATAAGCCATAAAACAGATACTCTGCTAAAATGCTATGTAAGTCTAATTGGTCGTGTCCACATCTTACCTTTATAATGCAAGTAAAGAGTGTCATTTAAGTATGGGGTCACGTAGAATTTCTGCTGTTTACAGATGTCTTGCAGAACCTTTTTTGTCATTCTAAAATAAGGGAAGAAGAAGCAAAACAAAACAACAACAACAAAAATGTATTTCAGTGCATATTCTGTAATCTCTGCGTTTTTACCAGATAGCAGTGCAATACAACTAATCATTCTTTTGTGCATGAAAAATAGCTTCAGCTTTCAAGGCTATACTTCAAATAAAAAAAGCAGTAGTTTTCTTTAGAGTGGCTTTCCATTTCTACCTGTCGGAAGTGAGTTACCATGCTCTTCCACTAAAAACCAGAGTGTATGTAGGGAATGGGTAAGGAATGAGAAAGTCCATCTTCTTGGAAAAAGTCAGCATGATTCTATGTTGTATTCTGGTTCTTTCCTCTCCAATTCTTTCCCCCATTCCTTGCGGCTTCGGCGCAGGACCTTTGCTGGCAAAATGCAACATCCATAGGTATCAACCTAACATTTTAATGAAATGCTGACTCTGAAATAGCACTCAAGGCAGTTTTAATATACAACTGTGATGGCTAGGAATGCTGTAGTAAGAAAAATAATCATACCTGTTCAACTGTAATTGCTTAGTATTCAGCTCCACTGCTTTTGGGATTCATGTAAGTAAGAAGGATGCTGTGGACTTCAGCTGAACAGTACAGGGGCAGAGGACTTGGTAAGAGAAATTGGCCAGAAAGCTACAGTGTGAAACAGTGGAGGCTGCAAGGGCAAAGCACTTGGGCTAGCAGGCAACAGCAGCCAGACAAGGCCAAAGCTGCACATGGCAGTCAGCAGGACAGCAAAACCCCAAAGGGTAAGTACGTGGGTCGCCTTAAAACTGTTAAAACAGGAACAGATGGCAGTGAAGAGTGGCAGAAGGGATGAGTTATGCCATTATCTGGGGACCCTGTGCTAGACAGCACTGGATCAACAGTTTCATAGAGCTGGTGGTCCCCTAGCATGGACTTTGCAAAGAGTGACAGGACACTCTTTTGGGAGGCAAGCTGTCCAGGGCTACATAAAATTTAGTAACATTATAGAAAAGCAACTTGGGATCCATACTGAAAACACCTAGCAAAAACAGTCCAAAGCAGAAAATACCTGTATCTTCTTGCTCAGAAAGATTAAGTTCTATAAAACAAAATTCCTGAATAAAACTTCTATTAGATCTCTCTCACTTCAAGAAGTATTACAAGAGTACAATGTTAAATAGTCCAAAATTATTTTCCACTCCTAAATTCTTTATTAACAAAATGCACTTTGCATTTGTAGTTATAAGCATTTGTAGGCCTAAGGTCTGTCACAGTAAGATCTTCTTGGCATGAAGATATTTTCAAAATAATAAAAAAACCTTGAGTAAATGCAGTGAATTTAAACCTTTTGTAATGATTTTGCTTTTAGATATATTTACTTACTAAATTAAAAATCTCAGTATTGCTTAAGAACAAACCTGTAATACAGTCAACTAGTCAATTGAGCTCCTGGGGCAATATAAAATATGAATGGCAGCCCGTAACAGCCCTGTAAGCCAAACATGCCTGACATAAATCTCTGAAGGAATGAAAGATTTATAAACCTTGAGCACAGTCTTTAAATATATAATGTTTCCTTGTATTGTCAGCACAGGTAGATTGTTGTATGCTAGCTACTTGCAGTATATCCCACTATTTTTCATTGTGCTATCTGAGGTAGTATTTAATTAAATGATTAACATTCTCATGGAATTTATAGGATCACAAAAGGTGTTTCTTCAAAACACTAATTATCTCATGTGCAGTCACTGCTCTCTACTGCCATTCTTCATAAAAACTTAATTCTGAAGTGTGCTAGGCTATCAGCCCAGGTTAACCAAGTTTTCTCTGTAAGTCCAGTCTATTCTACCTTCTGATAACTCAGTGAGTCTTTCCCTTGGCTTTAAAAGACTGTTAACTGTCTCTAATAGAAAGATGCCCTAAAGTTAGCATCAATATAAACTTGGGAGTTTCACAAGCAAGTAAGCAGATATACCTGTTAGAGAGCAGTGTAGGGGAGAGGGACCTGGGGGTCCTAGTAGACGACAGGATGACCATGAGCCAACACTGTGCCCTTGTGGCCAAGAAGGCCAATGGCATCCTGGGGTGTATTAGAAGGGGGGTGGTTAGTAGGTCGAGGGAGGTCCTCCTTCCCCTCTACTCTGCCCTGGTGAGACCGCATCTGGAATATTGTGTCCAGTTCTGGGCCCCACAGTTCAAGAAGGACAGGGACCTGCTGGAGAGAGTCTAGCACAGGGCAACTAAGATGATTAAGGGAGTGGAGCATCTCCCTTATGAGGAAAGACTGAGGGAGCTGGGTCTCTATAGTTTGGAGAAGAGGAGACTGAGGGGTGACCTTATTAGTGTCTATAAATATATAAAGGGGGAGTGTCACGAGGATGGAGCCAGGCTCTACTCAGTGGCAAACAATGAGAGGACGAGGGGTAATGGGTGCAAACTGGAACACAAAAGGTTCCACTTAAACTTGAGAAGAAACTTCTTCTCAGTGAGGGTGACGGAACACTGGAACAGGCTGCCCAGGGAGGTTGTGGAGTCTCCTTCCCTGGAGACATTCAAAACTCGCCTGGACACATTCCTGTGTAACATTATCTAGGTGTTCCTGCTCCGGCAGGGGGATTGGACTAGATGATCTTTTGAGGTCCCTTCCAGTCTCTGGCATACTGTGATATTGTGATAAGAACTGAGAGTAGATCTTCACTGTTCCTTATATACCACTCCATAACTAGCCCATGTGACCAGACTTTCAACAATGTAATTAAATAGTACCAAATGTTGGGTTTAATTTTAATAGTTGCTTGGAATGTGCTTCATCAGAGGTAACAGGAGAATAATCCCATTTCACAAGTATTAATAAAGAGCCATTGCAGCACATCCTGGCTTAGAGTGGACCACAATTAGAGCCAAAGCTTACAAAGGAGACATGTGTCTTATTGTCAACCATTTGAGGTACTTCTGGATTTCCTCTACTAAAAATTATCTTGACAACTGTAATATCTACATTGTGATGAATTAATACAACACATTATCTGATTCAATGCTGAGAAATAGTCAAGTCTATTGAAAAATTACTCCCAAAGGAGTTTGTGAAGTTTTCTCCAGAACTATTGAGCAGACTACATAGTCTACTTAAATGTAGTTTTGGTACTGTGGCCATAAAAAAAAAAACAAAACAACAACAAAAAAACCAAAACAAAATAAAACCAAGAGCTGTACAGATGCTGGAAACAGCACTGATTTCTGATTTATCAACTATTCTCATCTTTAAAATTGTTCCCCTGAATTAAGGTTAATATAAAGAACAGCGAAACTCCCACTGACTCCAGTGATGCCAGGATGAACACAAAAAACTTCTGCAACAAATGTATTACCTTAGACAGCCCCTCTTTTCTTCTGTCCTTTGATGGAATAAGCTGGTGACAGCTTTGTGATCACCATCTGATTTTTGCTCATTCTGTTGATCTGCTCTGGACATCCAGTTTATGGCTTTCTCTTGAGTTTTAACATCTTTGTGAGCAAGAAAACGAGTTGCAGTTTAATAGCGTGAGTGGGGAAAAAATGTCATGTTGCTAATTACTTTAAAGAAATATTGAAGAGTAATTTAATATGAACTTCAAGAAAAGAGGTGTTATAACCAAGATTTTTGCTGACAGGTTTAATGAACAGAAGCTTAACTTTTTAGATGGCAAAGGAAAATAAGTAGTGCCAAAATAAACTGTTGAAATCTCCATTTTATATTTTATTAGGTCTGGAAGTCACTAGTCATATGATTATTATAACATACAGTGAAGTAAAGTACTGGCACCTGTGTTCTTATGGTTTTAGACATCTACTATATGCTACATTTAATTAGCAATAATTTGAGTTTAATGAGACTGCTAACTTTGCATGTAAAGAGGCCACAGTAATAGTGTATCTGAGTCATCACAAGCACTGTTAGTCTAGCTCTTCCACAAATTCACCCTTTTGTACTCTGTGGAGGTTGTCTCCAGTGCTACTGGAGACAACTCATTCGAGCTGTCTTTAGATTGACATTGATTAATTGCATTTTCAATACTCTTCAGAATCTTGCTCTTCACCTTCTAGTTGCACTTATAGTCCATACACTTAAAAAGAGACAGTGCAAACAAGACGATTGTGCCAGCTCACTTAAATATGATTGTAATTAAAACATTTAGAGGTCAGACTGGTTGTATAATTGCAACACAGGGAAAGGTATCCCTCCAGCAAGAGAAAAGTAAAGCAACAGAACATGAAAAAAAAAAACAAAAACAAAGGAAAAAAAAAGGCATAAGAAGATAGCAATTGAATAAGCCTCAGTTATGGCAAGATTTTCAGTGGCTTTACTGAGGGAAAGAATAAACTCATATTGCATCCGGGTGAGTACTGACAAACTTGATGTCTAGGCTTTATGTTCACTAATGTTCCCTAAATTAGTCCTAGCAAGCCAGCTGAACAGGCTCACCTGTATGGACAGAACTGCCTTCATTTTCTGTGTGGGTAGCTTCATTGTTGGTGTCATTCAGAGATTCCCCTGACAACTCTTGCGCAGTCACCTCCCTTCCATGGCCTTTGTCTGAGTCTCCAAATTGTGATTGCATTTTAAGATATGTGATTTAGATCAGCCAAGTCACTATTTGATTTACTATCCAACTTTCCCAGACAAAACGTCTAAAGGTTTTAGAAGGAGAACCTGTTACAGATAAGACCATTATGAGTAAATTATGAAGCCTGCATGGAACGGATAACCTAGGTCTAGTCATTGTGAAGATACCAAAATGCAGGGAGAGTTTATGCTCAGAGCAGGGAGGAAGACGGCTGAGAAGCCTTCCAAAGTAGAGTAAGTCAACTCTTCCCTTTCAAAGCCGTAGAGCTGAGGATGCAGTGATGGTGCTCAGCCTGCTCCTGCGAGATGGCTGCTTCCCGCCCTACCACAACCCGGGTAGGCTCCTGCGGCATTTTCATTTCCTCACAAGGACGGCAGATGCAGCAACATTTCCCCTCAGCACTTTTTGCTGCTATAGCCCTCTAGAGCTCTCTAGACAAGAGTTCTGCCCTAAAGCGCAATGCTATATTGCCCATTAAACCTCCAGCTCCCTTTACCTGACCCCAGACCCGGCAGACCCGGGCAAGGCTGGGCCGAGCGCTCGGACCCGGACCCGGACCCGGAGCAGCACTCCCCGCCGTATCCCCCAGACAATAGGAGATGTAAACAGCGACGGAGGTGACGGTTCACCGCAGCCCCAGATACAGCTCCTGAGGCGCATGCAGCCAGATCCCCACCTCAGTCTCCCTAACAGCCGCTGTCGCCATGGCGACTCAGCGCGCAGACCCACAAGGCCACTCGGCCGCTCCCAGCTGCCCCGCGCAGCGGTGCCGGGGGCGGCGGGAGTACGGCACCGCGGAAGGGCCGGGCACGGCCCCGCGGGTGAGTCTGCCTGGGCCGGTAACAGCCCCGGGAGGGTGGCGGGTTCCTCCCCATGGGCCGTGGCTGGGGGGTGGTTTGCCTCCGTGACAGCCGGGCCTGGGCCGGGGTTGAGGCGGATGCTGAGGCGCCGGGTCAGGCCCCTTTGACGCTGGGGCTGGTGGGAGTGAATGCGCCCTGAGCTTGCTGCCCTGCCGGAGGGATGAGGCCTGAGTGCCGGCGTGCACTTGGTCACGGCCCTAACGCCAGTTGGCGGTAGGCTGCCGGCTGCGGCTGTAAATCGGGTGCTGCCGAGGAGGCAGTGGTGGGGTTCTGTGCTTGTTTTAGGAAATACTGACCAGTAAAACCTCTGTGAGGCTTTTTCTGCAGAAAGCCGGTATGCGGTGTGATATTAACGCACGGCAGTGTGCCGCGGTTCAGGGATTTTCAGTCCCGAGTGCCGCGGATGGTGCTTCTGTCTCTGAGCTTGCTTTGTTTTTCCTGTAGTTTTCTGTGCTTGAAAGAGCCTGTTGTTTCTCCTGTGCTCAGCTCTCCTCCTGGTTTATCCCTGCCTCTTTTGTAGGTTGTACTTAATCTTCCAAAATTAGCTTTATATGTTGATCTGCCCCTATGAAAATTTCTTCACTGGCAGAGTGATCAGGTATTGGAACAGGCTTCCCAGGAAACTAGTGGAATCACTGTCCCTGAAAGTGTTAAAAAACTGTGTAGACGAGGCTCTTAGTGACATGGTTTAGTGGTGGCCTTGGCAGTGCTGGGTAATGGTTAGACTTGATGATCTTAAAGGTCTTTTCCAACCTGTGATCTGTGCTTTATTTACAGTATGATTGGTCAGAGCCATTGCAGTATAACTGGTTAACACCTGAATGCTTGAACAAAGGCTAAGGAGCAGGTAAACCACTGAGGATGATGGTAGGTGATATCCACATTTTAGCAGGCTGACTTGTGGCTTTTCTGCATCAAAATGGTGCTCAGACCTCAGGCTACAACATGCTGAATCTCAAAGGTTATCCGTACAGTCTGAAAAGTTTTTGTGTCCCAAGAAGCAGTTGTAACTTTCTATGTCTATTTTTTTTTCCAGGCTTATGGTCACCATGGCGGCAGTGGATCGTTTCCACCTCTTGTACAGAGAGATCAGTCGTTCCTGCAATTTTTACATAGAGGCCCTGGCTATAGTTGGAGCCTGGTATACAATCAGGAAGTGTATGTCCCTTGCAATTGACACTTACAGCATGCTTAGGTTGCATTTAATTCCAAAGCTGGGCGGGGAGATTGACCTTGTCAAGCGCTATGGAAAATGGGCCGTGGTCACTGGTAAGAGACTGAAGCAGAATATTTGCTTATGTGTATAGCATACTGTGTCATACTGTAAAACTTGGTAGCATATACTGCTGGGTGAACGTTCTCTCACAAGCTGGGCGTGTATTACCTCATGTTGTTAGTTACTCTGCATGAGCAGTGACAGTTGTACAGCACCTTACTAAATTAAATTCCTCAGGAGATGGGCAAGCTCAGTGTGTTGACTGACTGCTGGGAAAGAATCACAGAGCAGTTTGTCCCAAAACTTGAAGGTACACCCTGAATATCTACATGTGTAGACAGAGATGCAGACAAGATCCTCTTTTTGTTACGGGGTTTTACATGCTGAGGTTCTTCTGTAATTGAAGGAGCTGTCAAAATAGGAGGCTGGGGCTGCTCTGATTTTCACTTTGGGATTTTATTTTCTGTTACAGGTAGCACAGATGGTATTGGGAAGGCATATGCCGAAGAGCTGGCAAAGCGTGGTGTCAACATTATCTTAATCAGCCGAAACAAAGAGAAGCTGGAGGCTGTATCTAAAAGCATATCTGAAACCTATAAAGTGGAAACAGATTTCATAGTAGCTGACTTCAGCAAGGGTCGTGAGCCTTACCCAGCCATTAAGGAGGCTCTGAAAGACAGAGAAATTGGGATTTTGGTGAATAATACAGGAATGTTTTATTCCTACCCAGACTATTTTACCAGTCTGTCTGAGGATATGCTGTGGGATATGATCAATGTAAATATTGCTTCTGCTAACATGATGACACATATTGTGCTGCCAGGCATGGTAGAGAAGAAGAAAGGTGCAATTGTGAATGTTTCTTCTGCATCATGTTGTCAGCCAACACCAATGTTGACGATCTATGGAGCTTCTAAAGTAAGCTGGGGTGTAATGTTTAATGGTATGCACTGAAAAAGTAGATTATAGCTTGTTTGCATTTGTTTGGTGTTTTTCACATTCAGCAACATTTTCATTTGATTTCACAGTCAGGTTTTCTAGAGATTTTTTCAAATACCAGAGGTGAATGTTACATGTATGATTCAGTAAACTTTCTAACCTCACTGGTGCCCTGAACCAAAGTCAGTGCTTCCTGGATTATGTGCAAATTATGGCATAACAGTAGTTCTAGGAGAAATGTTATCTCTCAGAGGTATGATGTGCAAAGCAAATCGGCAGTTCTATGAGCTGTTGAAAGAGCCAAGATTTCATCTCTCCTTTTCAGCTGAACTGTGCAGACATACCTCAAGCTACTTACGCACTAGTATTTGGTAGTAAGAGGAGCTATACTCATGCTCAAGCCGCCACTGTGACAAGGGCTGTGGCCAAACGAAGCCACTGCTTCACCTAACACCAAGGGGCAGAAGGCGTCTTATACCGTTGTCTGCACTGTATTTGAGGAAAAGTGAAAGGAACTTCCCTTACTATAATTATTATTCCTGAGGAGATCCAGTCACTCATGCATAGGATGGGGCAGATGTGTGACGCTGGAAGTATGAATGCTTGTGGGGATACAGATTTACATGGGATGGTCTGCTGTATCCACAAAAGCAGCTGAGATTGTAGATGGGATTTTGCCTAGAAGCAGTGTCTAAAGACAAGTGGTTATTGCTCCCAGCTATCTGTGGCTGCCCTCTCCTGCAGCCTAACCCGTGTGCAGCCTTGCTTCTGAGGTAGTTCTTGTAAGTACTTCCCTTTGCCTGGAGCAAAACCAGCTCTTTAATACCCCAGTGTATAAAACTCGCAGATTTTCTTCAGTGAGGAAACTGTTTTAAAACTCCTATTTCTGTTGCAAAGTATCTCCCTCCTTCATTATGCTAAGTGTATGTAGAACTGCACTCTGAGGTAAAACAATTAAAAGGCCTGGATGAAAAAGACCAGAACAAAACCAAATGTATACAAATTTCTTCCTTTAGCTGGCATTATTAATCCAAATCCTGTATCAGCAATACAGTTTAAAGTCTGGCCTCTGAATATTATTACATGGTCATGGCAGTATGAACAAGCTGTTCTAGCATGCTAAGCCTTTGTGCAGTTAACAGTGTATGGTGTTGGAAGTGGTTGGATTGTTTTGTTTTCCTAAAGCAGGTGTAAGAGATGCTCTTTCTCAGCGGTAACTGGCTTTGCAGCACAGCAGTAGCTTCAGCACAACATCAGTGTTGCTGCCTTGGTAAGACTGAGCTATGCTTGGTTTTCTGTCTGATTCCAGCAATCCCAGTTACCGACTTGTGCGGGGTTTTGGTGTTTTGTTTTTTTTTTATTGTAAAAGTAAAATGAGCTAAGTGAGGTAATACAGATGCACATAACTAAATTGATGTTTAATTTTGCATCGAAGGAGTCCCAAGAAGTACTTAACCTAGCTTCTGGGGAAGCTGAATACCAAATACACTCGTAAATGTGTTGAAGAATGGGACTTCATTTTGTCCTTTTGACAGTAGAATGTATAGTCAGCTTTGGAGTGTCTTTGCAATGCCCCCAGACTAAACAAGGTGTTTTAGATGAAATAAATGTTTCTGTGTTTGTGTTTAAGCAGAATTGTCAGATTCTTTGCCAAATTCACATCAGAGTTAAGTGGTCATTTTGTCCTGCAAGTTACTGTACCGTTGCAGTTACAGGTTTTTAGCAAACAAATAACAACAAATAGAAATGTTGATAATACTTTAGAAATGTGTATTTTTATACTGGTTATTGCAGTGTCTCTTCCTGCTTTTGTCTTTCTAGACCTACCTGGACTATTTCAGTAGAGCACTACATTATGAGTGTGCCTCAAAAGGAATTTTTGTTCAGAGTTTAACTCCATTTGTCATTTCTAAAATGACATCATGCGGTGGCATGGCATCAAAGAGATCTTTCTTTTTTCCTTCTGCTGAAGAGTATGCAAGTCATGCTGTTTCTACTCTTGGGTTATCTACAAGGACTACTGGTTACTGGAAGCATGCAATAAAGGTAATCTATTAAAATATTTAATGTTTATCAGTAGAAATTAAATAAGCTTCTACTGTTTACTTTCTTAGGAGAATGAATGAAAACTATGCTCATATTCTGAAAAAGTGCAGTATTTATTGCTGGACTGGAAGGCATTGGGCTGTATTTTCTCACTAATTCTACTTTAGAAAGTTATGCTTGGGCATGCTTTTTTTTAGGATGAGTGAATCCAGTTCCCACTTAATGCGCAGCAAAAAATGGGAGATTTTTTTATTCAGTAGTAGAGAGTATCTCATTTGACTTGGGGTATTGCTG